TCTGACAGACGTGCACTCAAACAATCTCTTATGTTTTGTGTGTGTGCATTTACAATTTATTTTGCTGTTCACTTAAGATCATTATTTATTTTGTCCTGAAGAGTTCTCAGAAGGTTATTTCTTATGTCTATGTGGCTGCAGGTTCTTGGAGCTTATTTTGAGAAGCTGGGATCAAAATCATTTGCAGTATATTCTATTGCCGTGACCGATACTGAAAACAAAACTTGGTTTGTGAAGAGAAGGTTATTTTCTCATCATTTATGTTAGTAGGAAAATCATATCAGTGCATCATTGGACTTCGTTATTCATGTCACTAGCTTTTGATATTGATTATCTTCGTAAAGGGCACAAGATTGCTGCTACTTCATCATAAAGTATTTTTTGTTCTTCCCTCCAGATACAGTAACTTCGAGCGATTGCATCGTCAACTTAAAGAAATCCCAAACTACAATTTACAGTTACCCCCAAAGCGTATATTCTCATCAAGCACCGAAGATGCTTTTGTTCATCGTCGCTGTATTCAGCTGGACAAGTTTCTACAAGTATTATTTAGTCCCTTCGCAACTTAAAAAACATATTTACCTGTAACATTATCTTATTAAGGCATTTTTCTTTGTCTGCAGGATCTGCTGTCTATAGCTAATGTTGCTGAACAGTATGAAGTTTGGGATTTTCTAAGTGCCTCCTCAAAAGTGCGGACCTGATTAACTGCCACCCCAAAAAGTTCATTGCTTTCTTTTTTCATTTAATAGATGATCTAACAATTGTTGTTTTCGTTCTGTAGAATTATTCTTTTGGAAAGTCTTCATCGGTGATAAAAACTCTTGCAGGTATTGCTGTCGCTACTGTTTTGGTAACATTTAGCTGTATATAAAAGCTCAGCCCTCGCTTTCCATATAACTATTACTGTTTATCAATAAATCTTAATCGGCCTTGTTGTGCTAAGAAACTGAATTCTTAAAAAAATTATTGGAACGAAGAGAGAAGTGCTTATTGTTTACGTGTTTTGTGTTTGCTTTGCTTTTCCATTTCACTAAATTTTCTTTCTCGGAATTGAGCAGTTAATGTTGATGATGCCATGGACGATATTGTACGTCAGTTTAAAGGGGTTTCAGATGGCCTTATGCGCAAGGTTGTAGGATCTCCACTTGAAGAAAATGAGCATGCTCCTACCCGCCACCTCTCCTGGAGTGTAAATGAAATAAATACTCATCTCTCTAAGGAAATTGCAACTGAGTCGATGAACAGCAGCATATCTGATAATGAAGACATTAACAAACTTGGAGAGAGCACTCAAGGGGAAGGTAGACTTGATTCAGAAGCTAATGGGTGGCACTCAGATAATGAATTGGACTCGAAGTATTTCCAACCGAGAGTAGTTAGGCGTCTAGGAGAGCCTGAGAATTCCCCCTTGGAAATGAAAATGATTTTAAGCGATTTGCAGCACGCCGATCCGTTGGTTCACAATCCTACTGTGCCACCTGAGGTACATCATAAATGGCCGTTTAGTGTCCCTTTCATAATCTACAGTTTCACGGATGCCAACTGTCGATCAGATTGTGTCTTTTGGCTTATATTATCTGGCTGAAATTTTCATGATGGCACGATAATATGTCTTTCATGCACCTGAAAGTTGAATTATGCTTAATGAGACATATTACCAAAGAGATTTTAAGTTGTTAGCCGACACTGTTGGCATCTTCTAATTTTGGATAAACGTAATACTTATCCTGTGCTTTTCATTACAGTGGACGCCGCCCAATGTCAGTGTGCCAATTTTGAACCTAGTCGATAAAGTGTTTCAGTTAAATAGAAGAGGTTGGTTAAGGTGAGACAAAGTAGTTAATTTTTCGTATTTTATATGTCTCAGATCATTTTATTCTATTTCACCATATCACATGGCGTTTTTTGAAAAATCTTAATGTGATGATGTTATTATAGGAGGCAAGTTTTCTGGATATCAAAGCAAATATTACAGATAGTTATGGAAGATGCTGTGGATGACTGGCTCCTGAGGGAGGTGTGTTGGCTGCGGAGTGAAGACACAGTAGCTCACGGAATTCGTTGGGCTCAAGATGTAAGAATTGGTTTTTCCCTGATCTTGTGCGGGAGTCAACTGAATCTTCTCCTGTTTCTGTCCTCCTAGAGACCCCGACATAATGTTTGATCATTTGTTGAAATCTCATATAACTCAAGTAGGAAAGTCGATGATTGTTCAGGGAGATCACGTTCGACGACATGCTTATTTTACTTTGATTGTTGCAGGAAGGCAGAGCAAATAAGAGAACTAGTGGAGTGAGTTTTTTTTTCTTTTTGTTGCTTACAATCTTGTTTGCATATTTTTCTCTAGATTCTTTGGCCAAATGGCGTATTCTTTACCAGAGTGGGTGACAGTCAAGAGGCATTGGATGAGACCGACCCCAGTGAAAAAACTTTCCAAATCGCAGGCCAACTTGGTGGCATGAAGGTGACTAAACCGAGTTCATTTGAGCATCATCTCGAGGCTTCACATAGAGCTAGTGAAATCAAGAAATTCCTTTTCGGTGAGTATTTAAGTCTCCCTTCCAATTAATGTCTCTGAGTGAGTTCAGGTTCATTGGAAGTAACTTCAACTGAATTCAACATTTTTCGTGTATCATCAGATGGTGCCCCAACAGCCTTAGTGAGTATGGTAGGGCACAAGCAGTACAGGAGATGCGCGAGAGACATCTTCTATTTCACTCAGGTTAGGCTTTTTCTGTGTCAGACTTAAAGTTGTTCGATTATTGGGGGTAAAGGGTTTAATTAGGTTGTTGCATCATCCATCATTTCGGTCTGACTAATTTTGACACATATATCATCGATTGCAGTCGAACGTATGCATAAAGCAACTAACATTTGCAATACTGGAGCTGCTACTCCGATCTGTTTTCCCGGAACTGCAAGATATTCTGAGAGACATAAGGGAGAATCCGCATGGTCGGTCAGAGTAATAATACCAGTTTATAATGGAGGAGGAGGTAGCCTATGATTGACTTGAACCAGTTGCTTATCTTTCTCTATGTTAAATTTTGATTTTTTTTCGAAATCTTGGGGATTTCTTTTTGGGTTCTTTTAAATATTCTTCCATGTGTATAAAAAACAAGTGCTAGTATTAACTTGTGAGGGTTTTGTATACAACAATGATAAAAGGGTTCTGTATATAAACCTCTTATGTGTGGAAAATGGCCATTTTGTTCTTTTGCTAGCATTGGTCCATAGATTTGTAGTTTTAATTTGCAAACTTGGAAAAAGTTACTTGGAGGAGGAAGTTATTTGCTTCATCATTGTAATTGTAACTCGGTTAAGACATGAAAGTTGAAATCTATTTAGGAACCTCCTCAGTTACATTAGTACCTGCATTACACTTTTTTGTTTCTTACAGTAGTCCTCCACTCAGAGAATCTACAGCATTTGCGTACAGGTCGGTAAGCGAGTACTGCCCCAGATTGCTTACCTCGTACCAAGTGTTCAGCGACTCCAGGTTCTTGTCTGTCCCAGAAAACGCCACCTGAATTCCGATGTTGCAATTAGCTTCACCTCCATTAGCCTTGCACTTTGATGTTGGAACTGCGCAATCCGTCCCATTCAGACACACTGAAGAAGAAACTCCTTTGCACGAATCGCATCCGAAATTCTTCCAGAACAGGTTCTGCAGCACTCCCTTCTGAAATTCCATTACCTGCAGTACGGTTTCACATTCAGCGATTCAGTGCTCTATATTATATGTTGTTAGTTCTGAAAGGGTTTTAAGGGTTATTCATTACAAGGGTGAAAGCTGTGATTGTGTTGCTTTCATCTGCGACCTTCACGGGATAAGATCTTGCTGCATATTTCGAGCCTGCGAATCCGACCATGTATCCTCCTGCTTCACTCTTCTCACAAGAAACATCCCAAAAAATCTTTTACTTGTTTACTCTTTGAGATTGTGTCCCATTGAGATTACATATACAGAGAGAGACTTACCGGGTTAAACTTACTAGTGTCGATGGAGAGAAGCGAGATCTCGTCTACCTTAGGTCTAAAAAGCGCAAGCTGTGCCATTTTTGCAGCTAAACCAAGGCGTGAATCGCAAGGGGAAAGCTGGACTTGGTCAAGGAAGAAAGCTTCTTTGCTGGAGATGGCAACACCAATGGTGAAACCATCTCCTTTGCTTATCTGAGTATCTAAACAAGGACTATACACATGGTTATTGTCTGATGCTCCAACCAAAACATC